GAGGGGAACTTTCGAAAATTCTATGGGCGAGTAATGCGTCTATTATGTTTTTCAATTAGGATTTTGAAACACTACAATTTGATAAGGGTCTGGAGTTGACCTGATGATGGAGCCGACAGGCAGTCGAGGGAACTCCTCAGCGGTTTATATTAACTACCTTGAGTTTGGGCTTGATTAATTTGGATTGATGAGGACTTTACACTTAAATAGAGTAGGGCTGTCATTAAGGATCTGATGATGAAGAAGTGTAATTGTTAAAGGAACTCCTTAACGGTATACAGTAACTACCTTGTGTTTGGGCTTGATTAATTTGTATTGATGAGGACTTTACACCTAGATAGAGTGGAGCTGTCATTAAGGGTCTGATGATGAAGAAGTGTAATTGTTAAGGGAACTCCTCAACGGTATACAGTAACTACCTTGTGTTCGGGCTTGTATATTTTGTATTGATTAGAACTTTGCACCTATGTAGATTATAAGTAACAAAACCGGTATAATTATGTAGCTTTACACTAAAAATGATAAAATAATAAAATAAAAACTGCGTTTAAAAAACCGACTTCAAAAAACCAAAAACTAATAACAAACAAAAAGTCAAAACTAAAAAGCAAAAAATAACTATTATTAGTACTGATAGGTTACCCACCCACTGATAGGTTAGAAGTCGGTGCCATAAGCTCATATTATAATGATATAACTTAATGCCCACAAAATTGTGAATTAGGTACCTATTAAGGTTTTAATGAATAATTTTGTATGGAACTTATAGCACCGACTTCTTACCTATCAGTGGGTGGGTAACCTATCAGTACTAATAATAGTTATTTTTTGGTTTTTAGTTTTGACTTTTTGTTTGTTATACACGTAAATGTAGCTCGTAGCCCGTAGTATTCAGCACGTAGTTCGTAGCCCGTAGTACTTAGCACGTATTTCGTAGCTAGTAGTACTTAGTGCGTAGTTCGTAGCCCGTAGCGCATAGTTAGTAATTCGTAGGGCGTAACAACCATTTGACGTCTTCCGTTATTTAATCTCGTACGCTTCTAAACCGTTAGCAGACACGGAAATTTCCTGTAATGTACTTGTACCTGTTTCGGATTCGTCAGGAGAAAGTGCTCGGGTGTCGTAACTGCAAGGAACACCCGAAGGACACGGTGGAAGATACGGTGGTGGTATGCCCTGCATGGGCTAAGTACCATCGTGTCCTAAGGCAGGTGATCGGCGAGGGTAACCTTTCGCGTCCGGCTCTACTTAAGGCCAAGGTGCGGAGCGAGGGGAACTGAGTGGGAAGCCGTCTTCTTCTCTTCTACAGTCGTGTAAGCTAAGGAGAAGGCGGAGTGCGTAAAGGGAACCACCCTCCGCGTCGATTCCGTATGCACTTCAAGGAGCTATCGGAACACAATATAGCCCAGTGAGAATAATGCCCAACCCGGATCTGCGGACGACCTAGCGAGATACCAGGGCTCCAGCTTGAAGCAGGAATAGAAATGGAGTGGTTTTTAGTCCGTAAGAATCTGATACTTTCTCCCGCCTCTCTTAAGGCGGCGAAGGCTTACGAATAACAAAGCCGTCAAACCATGCATTTTAACTAAGGTGCAGACCTACAAGTTGTGGGTCTACAAGGGTAGACCATCAAGACAGCATTTTAAAACGCTGCTACGTAGGTACTAGTACTTTTAAGTGTAAGGCTTAAATTTTTGGTATATGATGTACTGACATCTGAGCAAGTCTACCACTGGGCAGACTTGCTAAACCTATAGTTTCAATCTCATAGTTGCTTTACAATATTTTATTGATAATTTTAAAAATAGCCCAATTTCGTCACTGATTCATTCACTCACCGATGACAGATATACAATCAATATGTATGGTTAAAAAAAAAATTACTAGTACTAAGGTAAAACGTGTGATGAGGAGTAGGTACTTACGTAATATATTGTTGAATAGCAACTAACTATTATGTAAGTATCTTTTATTCTGAACTTTCTTTCATTTAGGTATGACTCATAAGTAGTTAGATAGCAAATAGGTAGCTAAGTAGTAACAGTTCGAATTTCTATGATAATTCTTTTATCACTAGTCACTACTTTTGTATGTGTAGGTAGGTAGGTACTACTAGTAAGATTATGAAACTCGTTATCTACAAATAATAGCTATTTCACGAGCTCTAGCAAAGGTTAAGTAAATTAGCATATGTTTTCATTCAACGTGAGTTTATAGGTTTATATTAAGCAAGTAGGTAGGTACTTAGACAAGTAATTGTAATAACATGTTTTTAGGTACATTTTTTTCTTTACTGTGAAGGTAGATAGCAGTAAGCACCTACAAAAGTACCTAAGGGAGAGGATGTTCATTTACATACTTCTTTTGAACCACCCAGCTACCTAGACTCGTACCTATTCATATCTAGATACATACTTGGACTACAAAATTTTGTCAATTGATTACAAAAACCTACATATCTTATG